TTTTTTACATTAAACTTGATATTTATTTTAAGTGAATTTTCTCAATATTATGAGACGTAAATGTCAAAATAACGTTGCTGTTTCACGAACAAATTCTATGTCTAGCGATATGACCGCAATAATATTGTTATAGGCGGGAAGTAATTATTATAATGCTTAACAAGCCCACTTTAAATATTAATTCTCGGGATTAGTCTCAAAGACGTAGATCCTTTTCGTAACCTTTCAATTCAGTTTAATGGACTTCAATTTTCAAATTCAATAATTATTATTAGCTGAAATTTAAACTTCTTTAAATTTGTTAATAACATGATCATGTCATTTGAGAAAATTTGATAAGTTGCATTTCATTTATAATAAATAAAAATTATGTATTTCAATAAGTAACTGACTTTGTCGGTAATTTAATGGATCATTTTGATTTGATTTTGCCATTGCAAAGCATTGATCATAATTTATATCACTTCACTAAAGGAGGTTAATTGATAACAACGACGACGCAAATAGATACACGTAACGTCAATAATTTACAAAAAGTTCTGTAAGTAGGTGACGAGACGCAGTAACGAAACAATAGAAGTACAATTCGCAATAAACTATTGTTTTCTAATTTAAGAACAATCTGCGCAACGAAGAATTTGTATAAATATTTGTTCTGCGTGACGTTGTGTAATGATTACTTTAATCGATCGACAAGAATTTATCCGTTCCGGCTTTGTTACTCCTAATAAAGTAAATTGAGTAACAACAAATATGAAAAAATAAACTCTTTTTTTTGTTTATTTATTTAATAACATTTTGTATATTACATTAGATGAATAAGTCATGGATTATATAAATAACATTGATAACACCAATAAACTATGTAACAAAATAATCGGAGGCATTAATGATGATCCATCATTTGGTCTAAAAAAAAAACTATTAATAGAATTTATGTAATTGATTATTTTATAAATAAAAAAAAAAAAAAAACTTACGGAGGTGCACCATAAGTAACGCCCAATTTATTACATTCTTCTTTAAATTTATCGAGCGGTACAACAGTTATACTATTCGTTGGAGTAGCAAAGCACATCATACAACTTTTTAGTTGTTCATAAAATTTATCATTACACATGCAAGGCGCCAACTTTGGAACTAAATTTTTTTTAAAGAAAAATAAATGAATATTTTTTTTTTAATTGAAGAAAAATTTTAGAGCTTACCATTTGGAGTATAAAATCCAGAATTTGTCGATTTGGATGGTGGATTAAATTGTCCTCCACAAATTGTCAATGTATTATTGACAGCATTACAAGGATCATTAGGAGTATTACAATCTTTTTTAGGAGCGGGTCTAAACATAAATAATTAAGTTATAATTGAACAAAGAAAAAAATTTCGATGTTAAAAGAATTTTTGAATGGTTGTATTTTTACGTTTGTGGATTTTGTTTTGGCTCTGGTGTTGGTGGTGGCGTTTGTTTTGGTGGCGGTGATGGCGGTGGAGATTTAGCTGGAGTTTTAGGCGGACTTTTAACATTATTAAGATGTAGTTATAAATGCAGTATATATTAGAATTAAATGACGTTTAAATTTGTGTTTAAGCTAATGAATATTTCCAAACTTACGTTGCTGGTGTTTTACCAGGTGCTTTACTGCAATTTAATGAGAAATTTAATTGAGATAAGAATTTTTTCGGGAAATAATTTAATAACTTACGATGGGTCATTAACATCATAGCCTGCAATGATACATGTTTTCGAAAAAGTTTCAAAAGAATCTACGGTGATGTTAATTCCCGGTCCTTGGAAGCATGAAACGCAACCAGCAACTAAATCATAAAATTTAGCGTTACAAGCACATTTATATAAGACATAATCTTCAGCTTCTAATAATTTATTAAACAATAATTTATTAATTTATATTTTTGGAAACAAAAAAAGTATTAAATAATTTTAACAGAATTGGTTTATTCGTTACTCACTACTAGTACTAAGCAAGAAATGGAATGATTGAGCACCACTCAATGCTTCAGGAGGTATTGAAGGGAGATTCCCTTTACATGGAGCTAATGTCGCGTTTGCCTGATTACATGGATCATTTATACCATTGCAATTCGGATCCATTTGACCATAAACATTAGCCGTAAAGAATTGGACCATAAAAAGCAATAAAATTAGTGATCTTATCATTTTCTTCATCATGAAAAATAAATAAAAGACAAAAAATTTTTTATTAAAAAAAATGGAAATGCGATCAAAAATACAAAGTATTTATTTTATGTTGTACTTAAAAAAGGGGTTATAAAAGCGCGTGTTCAAAAATTTTTTCGTACAACGTTGTTTAACGGATGTCGTGCTCCGAGAAATTTTGTATCACGAAAATTTTGCCGACTTGTGCCGCAAACGCCATCAAAAAAAAAAAGGAAAATTTAGGAAATAATTTCCGAGAACTAAAATGTATTAATGATGATTTCACCTGAAAACCATAAGTCTATGCTTCTATTGCTCGATTGCAGATGGGCTCAATTTTGAATGCATTAAAACATTATTATAATTTCTTATTTAGATGATTTAAAAAATTAATAAAAAAAAAAAAAAGATTTATAACCTAAACGATATCAACCGAAATGTTAAGAGTGATACGTACTTGTGTTTTAGAAATAAATTATTGGTTTATTAGAACAAATGAATGTACTTTGACATACTAGCGACTTGACGCCAATTGTAACGGTTTAGTTTCATGAAAACTTCTAAGTTCATTGATCACTCACAGACCATTTATAATAAATTCTAATAAATAACGAGAATTTCTTGGCGTAATTTCAAGATCAATGTAATTAACGGTAACAGTTGTATTTCATCTCTTGATTAAAGTTACGTTATACTGTACGCTTTTTTTATCAAATCAGATGAACTATTATTATCCATGTTAGAATTTATTTTAAATTGAGCGTAAATCTAACTAAATCTATAGAACTTTTTTTATGATTGATATATTAGACTTCTCGTTCCTTATTATTCATGTTGTTCTGATTAATCCTTCATCATCAACGATAACAGAAAGCAACAACAGAAACAGAAACAGTACTAGCAACAGCAATAGTAGTATTACCATTACGAATATCATCACAAACAAACCACCACAACCATCATTACTACCATTACCAACAATTCAAAAAAAATCTATATAAGCATGCTGTTGATCACCTCGCCGTACATTTTGGTGATCATCCTCTCTCCCCCAGAAATTTTAACGATCCTTCACTCAAAATCGAGTCTCTTTCTTTCATTACACTTGTGCTTTTAGACTTAAAAAAATTTTCAAAAAAATTTTTAGTATTATAAATCATATGTTATATATTAATTTACAAATTAAATAATTTTTTAATTAATACAAGTAATAATATTGTCCTAAATTTATTAATAGAATTAAAATATTTAATAAAGTTATAGGATTTATTAAAATTATTAATAAATAAAATAATTAATTAAATATAAATATAATGTAAAATTCATTTGCATTAGAAAATTGAATAAACCTATTTTTCACATCACAGTATTGATTTCTCAAATTAAAAAATTGTTGACGAGTTATTTTACTTAAAGTATCATAAATATCTTCCAAATTAATAATTTGTTAGCTAATCAGCTAATCAACTATACTTCAAATCTATTTTATTTCAAACTTAATCATATGATGTTTATGATTAAGCTTATTTAAAATTCTACAAATTAGTTTAAAAAATCTTTGAATTGAAATATTATAAAACTTTAAAATAAAAAGTAAAATAAATAACCAAAATAATGGGTTGTATTAAAAAAATTTAAATTTTAGAGATTTTTTTTTTAAAAAAAATTATTTTTTATATAATATTATTATGCTAATTTTAAATCTAAAATAAATGTATATTATGCTAAGTTATTAAAACTATAAAAATTATAAATAATATTATTAAAAAATAATAAGATTTATCCTTTTAAATTACTTTTAAAGCTTAAAAATCTATAATATGTGAAGTAAAAAAAAGAAAATTGATTGTAATATTAATAATATTCTTAAACAAAAAAAAAATCTAAAACTCTCATTTATAAAATTCAAAATCTATTTAAAAAAACATTTTAAAAAATAAAAAGATAAATTATTAGTAATTTTACAATTTTAACTCTAATGCTAATTAATCATTAATATTTTAAAAGACTTAATAAATTCAAAATTAAAATAGAAATATATAAAATTTGAAAAAATAATATAATAATATAAAGTTTAAAAGTTTAATAATCTGAAATATAAGAAGTTTTATAGTATAATGTCTAAAAAAAATTATTATAATTTGAAATTCAAAATTTTAAAGGTAAAGTTTAAAAATTTAATAGTATAAATTTAAAAAAATATTATAATGTAAAATTCAAAATTTTAAAGATAAAATATAATAATATAGAATTTAAATTTTTTTAAAAAAATATATATAATAGTGATATAGAATTTTAATATTAAAGTAAATTTAAAATTATTAATTTTTTTTATTTTCTAAAACTAATTAATAAAAATAATTTACATTTAATTATATATACAGTCAACCCACTCTAAATACACCCTCTTTAAATACATAACTATATATTTTCTCTCTAAATGCACGTTCTTGTTCAGTCTCAAGCATATAGAATTTATATAAAAATTTTCTTTTTAAATGCACACTCTCTTTAAATGCATATTTTTAAAATTTTCACTATGGTCTCGAGGGATGCATTAAGAAAAGGTTGACTGTATATAATTAAATAAGATAAAAAAATATATTTGTATTGATTATTTTGATTAATCAGATTAAAAAAAATCATTTTTATTCTTTTATTTGAATTGATTATTTTTAATATTTTACAATATTTAATTTTAATATTTTAATCTATTATTAAAAATAAAATAATTTAAATTAATATTGAAATAATATTATTATTTAAATTATAATATAAAATTATATAAATATATATATTATTTTTTTTTAAATTTTATGATATAAAATTATATAATTACTAGTTGTTAATCTGTTGCTTTGCAACAGAGGTATATTGCTAATAAATCAGATTTTAGATCATGTGATTTAAAAATGTTATGTGATTTTAATAGTAAAAATAGATGATCTGTGAAGACTGACTATAAACAGAATAGTTATTTATACAGTCAATCTAAAGGCAGCGATATGCAGGTATTTTTTTAATATAAGATATATATTTATTAAAAAGTTTTACAAAAAATAAATTTAAAAAATATATAAAATTATAATATGAAATTGATTAAAATATATATATATTAAATATATGATTTTTTGTAATAGAAAAAAAGCAAATTAAAAAAAAAATTTTTTAATAGATTTCTCTCTTTCTAATGCAAAGTACTTATATAAATTATAATTTCAGTATACATATTTATGAATTATTAAAATGTAATCTTTATTTAATTTTATGAATACAAATAGCTTTTAAGATTTTGATACTTTAATATAATAGAAATTTTAAATATTTAATTAAAATTTTACTAATTTTCCTATGTTATATGCAAATATATATTTTATTAGCTAATTTTCAAATTTAATAACTTATAACAGTTAAAACTAAAAGTGAATAAATTAAGTATTTATAATATCTTTTATTTAACTAATATATTAAAAGTTCAATAATATATAAATTCAGAACAAATCCTTAAAATATTTATTAATACTGAAAAATATAATAATTATAACATAAATCTAAAAGATAAATTGATGATTAAAAATTTTAAAACTATATATGTATGAATGAGATAGATGTCTTTTACTTGATTTTTTCTACCTATTTCTTGATGAAACATAATAATTACATTATTTATAAGGCTCTGATAGCTAAACTACTCAATATTTTGATCTTTCAAAAGATTTGATATGAAAATTTTTATCGTATTGCTCTATTAGTATTTCATATCGATTATTATTTTTTTCTTGTATAGAAAATAATTTGAAAATAATTTATTATTGAAAATAATTAATAAATTTTATTTAAAAAATTCTGTCAAAAATGCAATATTGTAACATTAAATAAAATCTTAAATAAAGATTTATAATAAAATTTTTATTCTCTTTTTCAAATTTCATGTTTCTATATAAATCTTATTATAGTTTAATTTTATTAATAAGAGATTTATTATAGTTTTGCCAATGATCTTATCAAAATACATGAGTTTTTGCCAAATGACTATAAAGGTATACGAAAAGGAGGTCATCTTCAAAGAAAATATTAGGAATATTATGAATATTCTGAAAATACACAAGATGATCATGCTTGTGTTATTTGTAAATTTTGTGAGTTTTTTTTGTATAGAGGAGAATATGTAAAAATGGAAGATCATTTAGCTAATCATTGTAAAGAAGCACTAGGTTATATTATACAAGAATATCTTCAAAAACTTTCTAATTCTGAAAAATCTGAAGAAACTTCTAATTTTTCTTCTAATAATTCCTTTAATACCAAAAAAAGAAAATTAACTAATAAAATACAAACTTCATTAAAATAATCATTTAATCAAATTGAAGAATTAACATTAGGATTAATAACCTGAATTAATCGTGCTTTAGTAAAATTTTTTGTTTGTTGCAGCATTTCTTTTCCAATTGTTGAAAATTCATTCTATATACTTCCATCAAGAGAAATTTATCTGGAAGATTAATGGAAGAAGAATTAAGTAAAGTTAATTATAAAGTACCTGAAGAATTGAAAAATAAAAACAATTTAACATTAGATTAGTATTTATTCATTTTTATATTTATTTATATTTATTAAATTTTTTTTTATTAGCTTTAGACGAATGGACTAGTAATTTCATATAGAACTTTATGATTTTAACTTTTAGTAGAAAAGAATATTTATACAAGTTATCTGATTTAAGTAAAAATTCACATACAGGAGAATATCTTGCTAATCAAATAAAAGAAGTAATTAATTTTATTAGAAGTAGTAAATTTTTTGCAATAGTAAGTGATAATGTATGAAATGTCAAAAAGACATGAGAACTTATTAATAAAGAGTTTCCTTTTATTTAAGATGTAAGATGTATAGCACATTTAGTAAACTTTTTAGTATGTAATATAGTTGAACATAATTTTGCTGATAATCTTTTAAAAAGAGTAAATATT